ACAACAACCAGAACCAGAACCAGAACCAGAACCAGAACCAGAACCAGAACCACAACAAGCACAAGCACAAGCACAAGCACAAGCACAAGCACAAGCACAAGCACAAGCACAAGCACAACCACCGCAACCGCAACCGCAACAACTACATAGACAAAGAAGGAGGCAAACGAGCAAAAAAGAAAGAACGACAACGACGTCTGGGAAGTTTCTCTTTGGGCGAGTTGGGGATTTAGAAACCCTTTATGAAGCTCTGCCAGGGCACTTCCAAGCCCTCCAAGAGCCGCGACTGAGGAGGATCAAGCTCCCGGATCCTCGGCTCGGATTGATTTCGGGTCTTCTTTAAGGTATAGGGTTTAGGGTGCTTCGCAGGTTTCTTTGCAAAGAGGCGGATAAATTATGATAGGGGGCATTAGAAAAGGGTCCTACTATACCTTACGGTAAGTAATTTTGGCATTGAGGGTCGTTCTCACAAGGGTCCTACAGTTGCTGAGGTTTCTGGAGGCTCGTCGGATAGTTGCTTCCACAAGATTCAAGCCCAAAACCTAAAAACCCGAAATCCCAAATCCCTGCCCCTTTGGCTCTGGAAGCCCTGGAGCCCTCGGTTTTGGAGGTTAGGAGGTTCTTACGCTTGTGGAGTATGTGCGGTCCCTGTTTTCCGGCAGTCTCATAGTCATAGCTAGATGTGGACTCCAGAGCTGGGATAGCTCGTCACCCACATCATCCTTTGAAGGAGACTTGGGCGACTACTCCCATGCTAATGGGAGACTGCCAAGTACGAACCTTAACCCTAAACTTCAAAACTATCCAAATCTTGTAGTGCCCAATCAAAAAAACGTATAGAGAACGCAGGACAACTACTTCGAAGTCCCTGCCAAACCCGACAAGGCATGCTATCCTGAAAGTCAAGGGCCTCTAACAGCGAGTTTACGCATCTTTGACAAATCTATCGTAAAGCAGACATGTCATGTATGTGACTGGTGTCCTGTTTGATGTTTGATGACACACACACATATACATATGCCTATATACATAAATAAAGATATATATATATATATAACACTGTCAGACGCGTGTCCTTGTTTTACCCTGCTACATCACCAAGGTATGTTCTTAGTTCTGGCACTTGTCCATAAACTTCAGCCTCTTCTGTATGTCTTTACAAACCTGCAAGCTGGTTGCCATGACATGTAGTGGGCCATCTTACTGTTGCTGCATGGCACTGTCCTGCCACTTGCGCTTATCGTTGAGCTTTCATGGTTGATGTGGACACACGGAGCAAAACCTTCCCGTCTGTCCAGGAGCGAAATATTCCACAGTTGATTCGCGACACCACAGCTCAAAGCCTTCAACCAACAGGCCTCGCTGGCGGTTGCAAATGTCTGTCTTGTTGCTGTCCTAGACAATGTCTAACTTGGAGTTTGAAACTCGCACATCCCCCCCCAAACAAAACGGCTCAAGAAGGCCAAGTATCTGTGGTTCCTCGGGAGCTTCTTTGACAGCCGCGCCATGCTCAGGCATGAATCCCGCGGCATCACCAAACTCCTTGAGATGGGCTTAGGAACTTAAGGTTGAGGACTTTCGTATTTGGGAACTTAAGGCGTCGAGCCTTCGTATTTTTCGGAACTTAAGGCGTCGAGCTTCAGCGCTTTAGGAGATGAAGGTTTAGAGCGTTCGCATTTAGGAGCTTAAAGTGTAGAGCTTTGGTATTCAAGAACCTGTGTAAGTTGTAGAGCTGTCGCAGTGAGGAGTTCAAGCTCTCGGATTGATGATTCGTGAACTTAACGTTTTGGGGTTGCGGATCAGGAACTTCAGTTTTGGGGGGTTGGGGCTTTGAAAATTAAAAAAATGCGTATGCAGTGTGTCGCAGCTTCGGATTTGGAGCGGGGCCTAGGCTTGGGCGTGCCGGGTTCAGGGCATTAGGTTATGGTCCTATAGGGAGTTTGTAGAGCTTGGCTGATTCTGACCGTATTACACCATTGCCCTGCCTGTGGCTCCTCAAACTCGAACTTCTAGTCTGTTGCAGTAGGTACCTTGAAGAAATGCCTGCTTTCTTCATGTCTTTATCAGTTGGATCGACTTAATTAAACCGGGTAACTACAAGACTTGGTTGCCTAGTTTCATGTTCTGTGAGAGTTGTATACGGCTCTAAAGCCTGCAGAATCTATAGGTTTTCTTTCTTTATCAGGCTCTCAGAGTGCTTTTTTCAAGGAAAAGGTGAACAGCGCGACTGCTTTAAGGTGCCAGCCCTCCACATAGCTTAAGAAGGCCAAGTACAATTCGTAATTTAGAGCCATTTTCCCGGAATGACAGCCTCTACAGCTGCCGGAATCCTAAACCCCAAACCCTAAACTCTACTTCTCCCCACCGAAACCCTCGTCGCAGCCGGGCTTCGCCGTGGCCGCTTGACAGGGCCTCAGCTCAGTCGTTTCAGCAACCGTTATAGGGTTTGGGGCTGAGGGTTTAGTTCGATTAAGGTACGTATGACGGCCGCGGCAATCCTTAAATGGAAACCCAGTAGCTGAGTACGTGAGTAGGCATTCAGGTTTAGAGGCGTTTTGAAACCATGGCTATGGTCCCTGGTGGGATACAAACTCTCTACAACAACTGCTAGAGGTAGGTACTTCAACAGGTATCCAAACGGATCAAATAGTCTTTTAAAGTGAGGAGCCTTATTTCTGAAAGAGAAAGCACCAGATTCAGTCCAGGATGCGCTTCAATCTCAAAAAGATGACACACACAGATCACCGCACGCAAAACACAAGCAACCCAGTCCCAAAGCAAACCCGGTCCTAGCGACCAGAGCATGCTTGGCTCTTCCACCGGAGGTATGTTGCCATAGGGTTTAGGGTTTCAGGTTCAGGATCTCGCTGAAATGGCACATAACAAGAAGCGGTCTGATGATCAGAGTAATTCAGAAGAGTCACAACTACAAAACTCCAAATAGTCACGAGCTGAACGTGATCGAGTACCGCAACATCCTAAGTCAATCAGCTGTACAACTGCAGTGCATCAATGATTCAGTAATTTGTCGCCGACATTTCCCAGAACAGCAGTGGTGGCGAAACCAATCGGCATTACATCATGGAGCTAAACATGATGCTAACCCTCCTGACAATGCTGATGACCAGAAAAAGACAAACCGCAGACCGACTACGACTGAGCCTAATAGGAATGATAGAAATAATCAAACGAGCAGCAGGAGCCCATCTACAAACACAGACCTCCTAAACCCGAAACCCCAAAAACTTCTGTCAAAGAGACGAGAAACCCACTAAACCCCCAAACCCTATATGTACCCTGACCCTTACACCCCAAATCCCGAAAGCACCAAATCACAAGACGGCCGCCACCTCCTTCTCCTCAGCCCGCTCGCGCTGCTCGCGGCGGCTAGGAAGCAGGTGTCTCGGTAAGTCGGTGCGACGATCCGACAGGCCAAGAGCTTGTAGGTTGAAATGTTTTGGGCGTTAGGCTTTCAAAGCTTTGCAGGGTCGGGTTGTGAAAAAGAGGACATAGACGTTCCAGGGCTTGGGGTACATCTATCTGGCTTAGGCATTCAAGGGCTAAGCGGAAATTTCAGGTGCTCGGAGGGAAAGTGTTGGAGGCGGCGGGAAGTTGAAGGCGCATCTGGGCATGTTCGTATTTTGGATTGGCTTCACCATCGAGGGTTTCACGATTATGCACTTCACAAGAAAAAACCGGCACTGAGTCCGACAACACTTGAAGAGTCTAGTCTCCGGCTCCGCGCACTTCGCGCGGCCTTCTGTCTCTGCTGCTGTGCTTCTCGCACCTGCATTTTGCAGAGGTGACTGACTAGGCTCACGTCGCAGCCCTGCAAGTGTAATTCTATTCATATCAGACAGGCAACCTACGAGTTGATGCGATGCAGGACCCGTATACCCCCGTTCTGTGGCTGAGTCTTGGCCTTGTCTCCTGTGGGTATGTTTTGATTGCAAAGTCTGGTGCACATTCATGCTCAAGCTTCGGAACTCACGCCTCAAGATCTGTAACAAGAGAAATCGTCAAGACGACGATTCTGACGCAGTTTCTGCTCCTGAGCAGTATACTGATAGCTTACACGGAGGCTGATGACGATGGTGATGACGACGACGATATTCATGATGGTTGATTGAATGCTTGAATCATTGAATGATGGCATGATTGAGCTTTTGAATGAACGAATGAATGGAATGGAAAGCAATCCAATGCAATGAAACGAAATAGCGACTGAGTGAATGCGTGAGTCAGTGAGTGAGTGAGTGAGTGAGTGAGTGAGTGAGTGAGTGAGTGAGTGAGTGAATGATGTGGAAATGAAATGAATGAACGGTTGAAAGGAATGAATGAGATGGAATGAATGGAAGAGAAGGAATGGATGAATGATTAAATGATTGACTGACTGACTGCCTGACTGACTGATTGATTGTAATGCTTTAAGAAGCATATGCAGCAAACATAGATAATGGAGGTTGGTGCTGTTGTTGATGATGATGATGTTGTTGTTGGTGGTGGTGGTGGTGGTGATGACTCGGGCCATCCCCGTCTCTGTGCACTTCTTCACAACCCGACATCCCAGGCAGTAAACGTCTAGCCGTTTAGGCGCACCAAGCTTTAAGTTCCACGCCCGGCGCCCCAAACCCCAAATCCTGAAACTCCCCCTCCGCCCCGCACTAACCTCACCTCTTCCCAGAAGGCGCGTGGCAGCTCCTCAGCACCAGGCCGAGGTGCTCCGCTGGCGAAGCGGCGAAAGGCTCGGGCCCACATGGCGCCATGGTGCAGGGCTTGTAGAGTCCAAGATGCCAGTGAGGCATGCTGAAAGTATGTCAGGCATGAGGACTCTGAGCTTGTGATCGGATTGTTTGGGGGGTGCGGCGGGATGTTGGCATAGATTGAAAAACTTCTTGAGCGAGCGTGGTGTAGGGAGTTTGCGGCTGATGTGCAAGCGCTCGGGCCCACTATGTTGAGTTGGGATCGGGTTCCCGGTTGCAGGGCAAGTCACCATAGTATTCATGGACGTGACGCAGACAGGACGTGCAACCGATCTCCTTGATCGGATGGTGGAGAGCTCGAGACTGGAACTGCTGCACATTGTACTCTACTCAAGCTCTGTTTGGCTTTTCCAGGTGCCCCGCGAGCAGACTCTTGGCCAGTCGATGAGCTCCATATGCGAGTGCCCGAGACATGACAGAGCGACGCCATCACAGTTCAGAGGACATATGCACACCGCTACCAGTGGCAGACACTCGATGCCCTAAACCCTAAACTCTAAACCCCTAAACCCTAAACATTGAAGACATAGGGTCTTGAAACTCGGAAGCATTAAAGACATGCCAGGTCCAAAACATTGGCCGCTGCTGATCTGATGTCTTTTATCTTGTAACTGACACGAAAAGAAAGCCCTGAAGCAGTGAAGCGGAGCTTTAATGGAGGGGTCTTAGTAATTAATTTGGTATGATATACTGTACTTATAATAAGGAACTCCACAACAGTGTAGGAAATTATATAGGCTTCTATGTTAGCCCATCACACGTCGTGGCCTGCAGTGGCACTGGCGGGCCCGGAGTCAACACCTCAACTGCTAACAGATGTTGGGTTCATCTTGGGCTTTGCAAAGTTGGGTTTAGGCCGAAGACACCGCAGCAAACACATGGAACGAATCGAAGCACCACGTCTTGAGAGCTAGAATCTAGGTTCTCGGTCCAAAGCCGGGGCACAAGCCGCTGAAACCTCAAATCACAGCACCTTCCCACCTCGTGGCCACGACCGCTTTGTCCCAGCCCCAGTCGTGGGGCGGGAATCTTGGTGGTTCACTTGCGCTTCAAGGCTTCGGTAGGGTTTCGAGGTCGAGGGTGAGGCACCTCTCAGTGTACACAAGGGTATACTACGAAGGCAACCTTGTCAGGGGGGTCCTTCAGCTCTGGCTAGGCTAATCGTGGTGTCCGGTGGTCAGCGGAGTTGCATATCACCAGGCACAAGATGGCCATTGAACGCTTTAAAAAATAAGTAGTGGCAGCAGTGGCGATTGCTGGGTTCCTTCCGAAGTATCTGGTGATTGCTGGGTTCCTTCTTGCACATGCGAAGTATCGTGAGCCGTCGCTGGCGCCTGGGCAGAAGGCTGCCACGACTACGCAGCTCCTCCGAACAACTGCGGCTTTGAACCCTTCCCAAGCTCGTGCTCTTGCACAAATCTTGAAGCCTCCTCCCAATCCCCACAGACATGTTGTTGCTAGGTGTATATCTCGGACACTCTATAGGCCCTGGACTCCAAGAACTCCAAAGCAACATATGCACAGCTCACACTTAAGGCACCGGATCCCTTCTGGCCAAGCTGGGGGCGTCGTCATCGTCATCGTCCAGAAGTCCCTGAGGTAACTGGGGCCTCCAGCGTCATCAGCCCGTCGATGAACCGAGCTTGGTTCAAAGTAAGTTTCCGGTTTGGGCGGTTGGATCAGCTATGACTAGTTGGGCTCTTTAACCTTCGTCTGAATGTCCTTCATGGGGGTCAGAGGCCTGGGTTTATTGAGGGTTTGGGCTTTGGGGTGAAGCCACAAAATTGCTAAGGCATGCTCGAAGCACGGTTCCATCCACCGCTTCCAAGACTCCAAGACCTACCGCGTGCACCTTTCAACCTCTGATGCCTCAAGGCCACACGAGACCAGAAGGGCGGACGAATTCTGGAAAGCTCCTTGCAACCGTCAGTAAAGGATCTAGACTGACAGATGGTTTAGGCTGAAGGCCGAGAAAACTACAAACAACTACACACTTCTCGAAAGATCGCAGCGATTCACACCTCCCCGACTCAGGCTGAAACACTCCCGAAAACATCAAGCCCCTAAACCCCCAAACCCCCCAAGCAACTAACGCACAAAGCCCCAAAGTCCCAAGCACAAACACACAACAGCAAAGTACAAAACCTCTGAAACGTTCACGGCCTGGCTTCTACTTCATCTTCCAGGAGTCCTCCGAGAGAGATGGACGGGGGGATCCGGCCGAGTGTAAGGGCCTCAGACTGTCATTCGATATCCAAAACTGTATCTAGTGTGCACGTATGCATGTATAGGAGTATGTATATCGGTATATCGGTATGTCGGTACGTAGGTATGTAGGTAGCTGGGTAGGTCGGCAGGGAGGGAGGGAGGAAAGAAGGGAGGGAGGAGGGGAGGTTTGTAGGTGGGTATGTAGGTAGGTATGTCGTAGGTATGCCGATGTATGTAGGTATATGTGCAGTATGTAAATGTATGCATGCATGCATGCATGCATGCATGCATGCATGCATGCATGTATCATGTACGCATAGTAAGTTTTTAGATCGAAAAACTGACAGGTAGATAGATAGATGATTGGATGGATGGATGGATGGATGGATGGATAGATGGATGGATGGATGCGGATGGGTGGACAGGGAGATATGAAGATAGCTGGCTATATGCAGGTAGAAAGTCGGTTGGATTGTTTGACAGACAGATGGGCAGATAGATCGATGGATAGGTAGGTAGATGGATACATAAATAGATGGGATAGATAGATATAGAGATACATAGGTGATATTTAGGCAGATAGACAGACACACAGACAGACTGTCTGTCTGTGTCTCTGTCTCTGTCTCTGTCTCTGTCTCTGTCTGTGTCTCTGTCTCGGTCTCGGTCTCAGTCTCTGTCTCTGTCTCTGTCTCCGTCTCTGTCTCTGTCTCTGTCTCTGTCTCTGTCTCTGTCTGTCTGCCTGTCTGCCTGCCAGCCAGCCTGCCTGGCTGTCTGCCTGCTATCTGTCCATCTGTCTGCCTATCTGTTTATCTATTGGCCTGTACGCGTAACTACCTATCTAGCTATCCGCCTGTATATCTACAGTATCTGTCCAATGTATTTCTTTACCTATGGGTCTATCTATCTAGCTATCTGTATGTCTATCTGTGTGTCTATGTGCCTGTGCATTTATCTATCTATCTACCTATCTATCTATCTATCTATATATCTATCTACCTGCGTATCTCCGTAGCTAGCTGTCCACCTGTCTACCTGTGGATAGACCTACCTATTCAGCTGAGGGCGAAGGGTCGCGAATTCCTGATCTTGTTACATGGCTGGTCAGCTAGTGCATCAGCATACATTCGAAAGTATACCCAAGCTGCATACACACAAGGATGGTGTGAGATAGAGCAAGCTTCACATGGTTCTGAGGAGCAGCAGGAAGATGCGATACCGATGCTGCTGTAAGGTCCTGATCAATGCAAGAACTTCTCGCCGTCTGTAGCATGTACGGGTACATCGTCATATCGGGCCACAACGCTCTGCTGAAGCATGACTGATGCTACTTCCTGACAAGACAAAGCTAGCTACTAAGGAATAGCACATACTGCAACTTAACCTCCACAAACATGGCAATAGTGCTTTAAACGCAGGCAGTGACGGTAC